AGGAGGAGGAGGAGGAGGAAGGCTCTGTGACTACAAGTGTTGGGAAGAAGCGGGGTGAGGTGGATTTCAACATTTAGTTTTCATTCAGGAGTCATATCCAATTAAACGCTAATTATAATCCAAGTATGGTGCTATGGTGATATAGTTTTCCCTCACTCCCTTCCTCCCTCTCTTCTCTCTTCGGTGTATGCCTATGCTCTATGTGCATGCAGTATGCAAGGAGTCCAGAAGAGGGCATCAGATCCCCTGAACCGGAGTTACAGGCTGTTGTGAGCCACCATGTGGGTGCTCAGAATCAGACTTGGATGCTCTGCAAGAGCATCTCTCCAGTCCGCCAAACATTCACAGATGATATTTATGTTACAGCATCACATATACCTCATAATATGGTACTTTTCACATCTCTGCCTGCTTTTCCTTGGGAAGGAAAGAGAAACGTGTCTTAGCCCATTTGTGCTACTACAACAAAATCCCCAAATTTCTTCTGGGACCAGGAAAACTCCAAGTCAGGATATTATCAGATTCTATATCTAATGAGGACACACTTTTGGCTCAAGGATGCTTCCTTGTAACCTCAAATGGTTGAAGGGGTGATGATGAATCTTGATTGTCAAGTTGAACGAATCTGGAACCGAGTAAGAGAAACACCTCTGGAAGGGTCTATAGAGGCATTTCCAAGAAGGGATACTGAGGGGAGAAGATGTCCTCCTGGAGTGGACAGCACCTTTGACAGGGGGTGGGGGTGAGATGCACTGTAATAGGATCTGAGAAAAAAAAATATAGAATGTTTCCCTGCCTGTCTGCCTGCCTTCCTTCTCCTCCTGCTGGTGAATACCTCTATTCTTGAAGAACTACTGTGGGCATCCTCCCCTGCCATCAGAACCACTGAGGGACTCTCAAGCCCCAATTGTGTAAGCCAGTCTAATCAATCCCATGTCATGACATGTATTACTGTCAGTCTGGTCCCCTAGAGCGGTGGTTCTCAACTTGTGGGTCACTACCCCTTCTCTTTCCAAAAGTATTTACATTACTATTCATAACAGTAGCAAAATTATAGTTATGGAGCAGCAACAAAAAATTATCATTGGATTGCGATGATATTTTGTTTGTACCAATAAAGCTTGCCTAAAGATCAGAGGGCAAAGCTAGCCACTAGCTAACCATAGAGGTCTGGAGGTTTGTGCAGACAGACAGGAAGTGATATAGCTAGGTGGAGAGAGGAAGTGATAAGGCAGGAGGAGACAGAAGCTCAGTCTCTTTTTGGCTGGGAAGTTGAATAGGTAAGCTGGCTGTGGTTTTGCTCCTTCATCTCTCTGATCTCTCAGCATTTTCCCCTATATCTGACTCTGGGCTTTTATTATTAAGACCAATTAGAACTCATATTACATTGGAGGGTCACCACAACATGAGGAGCTATATTAAAGGGTCGTAGCACTAGGGAGGTTGAGAAGCACTGCTTTAGAGGGAGCTCTCTGGTCTCTTTTCTAAGCCACTAACCCACTCAGCTCCCAAAGACCCATGTCCAAATGCTCCTGCGTTAGGTTGCAGTGTGTGAATTAGAAGAGGATGCAAACACTATTGCAGTATCCCTGGCTACTCTCAAATCCAAGGCTATCTATCATAAACAAAAGGACTGTGTGGAGAAAAGAGGCATGGGGGCTGTGAGTGCAAGGCCAGCCTGACCCCATCTCAACAAACACCCTCACCCCAAGAAAACCAAGGAAAGGACAGCTGCAGGGCTATGGAGTCCTGGGGCTGTGAGTGCAAGGCCAGCCTGACCCCATCTCAACAAACACTCTCACCCCAAGAAAACCAAGGAAAGGACAGCTGCAGGGCTATGGAGTCCTGCAGCTGGCCCCAGTGGGCTCTGTGACCTACAATCACCCACTCTCCCTTTGTTTTGATTTTCATCTGTCAAGAGAAATGGTCCAAAAGAAAAAAAAAAAAAAAACCTTTCATCCATTTCACAATGAACTCCATCCAGTTTAATCTTGAGAGGCATGATCACCTCGGGCCTCTTTCTGCTCAGTGCCAGAAAGATGACTGGTTACAATAGGATCATTCTTCTGCTGCAACAGTCAGCCTTTTCTCAAGCATGGCCTGGAGCGTTTCAGAGACTGATAGCAATTTCAGTAGACCTTCCCTTGCACCTTCATCTGGAGGGCAGTGGGATTGGCCTTCCTTTCTCTCTACAGAAAGAGTGAGGTACTAGCGCTAGAAAACAGGTCCCTGGTTGCTTTGCCAGAGGAAGGGCCAGGTACAGAGAAATAGGTAAGTAGCAGTGGCTTCTATGTTGGTCCCATAGATGGATATTTGTAATACTTTGAACACAGCAAAGCAGCGTGGTTTGGGTTTGGGGAGATGGCTCTAGGGTAACTGTTTGCTATAGATTGAGGACCCAAGTTCATTTTACATAGGATTCTGTGCTCCCATGGGGAAATTTGGAGGTGTCAATGTATGCCTATGACCCTAGCCCAGGGGAAGCAGAGATAGGAGGATCCCAGGAGCTTGATGGACAGCCAGTCTGGCCAACTGGTAAGCTCCAGATTCAGCGAGAGATGGTATCACTGCGTAAAGCCGAAAGAGACAGAGCGATAGAGAACACCATTCTACGTCAACCTGTGGCACCCTTGTGTGTACAGAAGGATGTGCCTTCTCACACGCCACATGGACATACGCAACGCACACTCATAAACACAAATCAGCATTATTTGACAGCATACCCAGAGGGCTCTGAGAATAGCAAAAGCCCTATGCCCTACCAAGGTGGGGTGTCTGGGCAGGGAGAGCTAGGCAGACAGCCTTCCCTTGGCACTTACAAAGAGGGGCAGGATTTGGTAACAACCAAGAGCGTTGATGTGTGAGGGGTGTTCACTAAACAAGTTGTAATTTTCCTTTTGTTTATGGAAAGTTATTGTCCTCTGGCTTCTGGAGAATGAATGGGGAGTATATTGTTGTTCTAGTTTTGCTGAATGAGTTTTAGGTTTCCTATGTGAGAAAACAAAAAGCTGTGGCTCCTTGGAGTGGTACAGCAGCAAAGCCCGGAACATTCAACCACAGGTTCACTTACTGAAGAACCCATGATTGTTGACGTTGCCTGAGATTTCATGGAAATAAATTAATGATTTGCATGGGTAAGGGATGTAATCTCTTTGAGAAGGTCATAGTCCTTTGTTTGCTCATCCCACTGAAAGCATCCTCTATATGACAGGCAAGCCAAGATTTCAAACAACACTTCTGGATGTTTTAAACAATAATTTTGTCAACACAGCTGACTTCAAATATGTGTCTCAGACTTTCTTATGCAAGCTGTTGTCCTCAAGCCAGCTACTTAGAAAACCTTTCTCTCCATCCCAAAGCACAGTGACATTTACAATTTAAAATTAAAGTCTAGAAAGTCTAAATCATAGGTCTTTTGGGAACAAAGCGATTTAAAAAGAAACACTTAAAGTGAATATTTACAGAATACTTAATCAGAGAAATAAGATGATGTGTGGTAAGGTTGATGCAGTCTGGATTAAAAGTTTCAAGCCCTTGTGTATCCCACCTGTGTATTTGTGGCTGTGGGGTTGTACATCAGGATTTTCCTATTTTATAACAAGTGGTATTTCTGAGTCTCTGAGAACAGACTGCTCACAGCCAACTATCTCTAGTGTATTTGCTTGAGATAAGAATTGCCAAGTAGGCTATGGAGGATGGTGCAATGTGAATTCCTTATCACTCAAAGGAGAAAAGACTTGTGGACTGTGTCTTTACGAATGAAACTCTGAATTTTTTTTTTTATTTCCATGGACAAAGTTTTATGCTTCTAAAGTGAATCATTTACTAGGCCTTCTAAACAGCAGCAATAACAATAGTCATCTTTCTGAGTGATTTTTATTGACTTTTATTTTTTCAGGCTTTATTTTGTGTGTGCATCCACACCATGGCTCACATGTGG